TTCTAATAATTATGACAAAATATGCCTCTTTTCCATCGGCTGCCTCCTTAAAGTCTTGTTCAGGAAACTACTAAAGAGACGAAAGGGACAGAAACTTTCCTATTACTTGTTATCTTTTTTTGTTTTTGTTTCAGTAATAAGACGCCTTTGAGATCCTGGATGCAACGATTTATCATCAGGACATTTTTATTTATATATAGCGATGGAATTAGTTAAAAGAACAAGTGGAGTGCAATTTGTTATAGTAATAGGACCGAGTGGAGCCCAATTCGATCTTCAATCATAGGAGAGATTAACAAAATCAGACGAGAGCGTATGGAGCCCGATTTTTTTTTAATTCTCAGTACGATGACACGTACACGGTCGTGTTTCGATTCGACCAAAATCCAGTCTGCTGATAGCCAATCAGATTCGTAAATTCTTGTTACAGCTTTGATCATTTGCAGTAAGTGTCTATAACATCCAGATAGGACATACCTTATGAAAGTAAGGTGGACAAAACCTTCAAAAATATTTTCTTTATGCTAGATCAATTCCGTCTCAAAGTTTCACAAGAGGTGTTCATGGTTCAGGCGGAGGCGATTTTGAGCGATATGAGTTTCACAATTTATCGCTTTGCTAAAGTAGGATATATTCCCAAATGATAAATAAAAATCTCAGCACCARCAACAAGCATTTTATGCAGTGTAGGGTTGTTCTTTTACTAGAATGGATTTTTTAGACCAGATTTTTTTTCTTTCTGGTAAAGAAGTGGATTTCAGGTTACAAGAAGTGTAACCATACGGACCATTAAATGAAGAATGGTGTTGCTGATGTTTAGATAGCTTTTAGATAATCCGGAATCGTAGTGTAAATCGTAATTTATGTGTTCTTCAAGGAATTGTAGAAATGAAAATATGAAGCTATTTCAATAAAAAAAAGCTGAAAAATAATTAGAAAGAACATTTTAGTCTAGATGGCAGTCATGTATAAACAGTAGATTACAAGATTAATTTTGCTGAAGCCATGCATGTTACAATAACGAGACGTGTAAAATTGTTTGATTGTGATAATGAGTGTTATCAATAATGCATACTTTGAATTTAATGGCAATAAAAGTCAAAAAAGTGTCGAATAAGATGAATAGGTTTTGGTCCTTTTAGATTGATTCCATGTCCATATAGATAAGAGCTGCCATCAGTATGATCAAGACACAAAAAAAATACGTTAAGAAATTAAC